CTAATTCATTTCCAGGTGAAGAGGAGGGACCCATAGAGCGGCCTCATTTGCCTTGTCTAGAGGCTCATTAAAACAAAGGGTGGCAGGTTCTTGAGACAGAGTTGGCACTGACAGCTGCCGGCTGTTGGGAAGGCAGGGCAAGTCAGCAGGGGATTCCAGCGAGACGGAGGCTGATGACACAGCTATCTCCGTGACCGGTGCAAGCACGGACCATACGCAGACCCAGAATATGCCAGAAGAGCAGCATGGCAGAAATGCAAGGTGCTGGTGCCACACCCCCGAGAACCCTGACTGGCTGTGTGTTTAAGCAAATGTCCCCTAGAGAGGCCTGAGCAAGTAGGATTGGCTTGTTTCCAAAATCTGCCCGAGAAGAGCTTTCCAGTTGTTGGTCCTTCCTCTCATGCCTCTTAAGAGTATTTTTTTTCTTTTTTTGGCCAGAGTGGATATGTACTAGCCAGCGACACACACACACACACAGAGAGAGAGAGAGAGGAAGGGAGGGAGGGAGGAAGCACCCTCCATGGGAAATGGTCATGCCACAATCCATTCTTCTCCATCTCTCCCTTCTTTGGGGATTTGGGGCACACATGCACAGGTACACAACATGTTCCTCAAGTCACCAGGTCCAGGACTCAAACTGTGTAGTTAGCCATGTGAGATCCAGCTGCCTCAACCAACACACCACCGCTGGCTCCCTAATTAAATTAAATCTCCCTGGAGATTTCCAGGAATGTAATATTTTTATTACACATATTTTATTCACATAGGACCTTATCATGAGGATGCCTCTAGTCACAAATAGTTTCCAAGAACATTTTACATAAGAACATAATATTTCAGTTAATAGCTGTCACACATAGTCCCTCACCTCTTATTCAAATTTTTTCACGGTTTCACTATTTGTACAAGGCGTCTTCAAAACAATTTATGGGAAATATGTATTATAAAAATGATGTGCCTTAATTTCAAACTATAAGATTTTGCACAAAATCAACTTGTACTTTAGTTTCATTTTTTTCATGAGATTTTGAAGTTCTCCTGTACTTGTGATGTGATGAATATTGTGAATTGTGCATACATGTTTCGCTAGGCTGCATCCTAAGAAGTAGATAAAAAATACTTGGGAACATTTCTTTTCTTTTTGTTATTCCATGGGGTGCATAAGCTCACTGGGGAGAGCCAGAGAAAGGGAGAGTGAGAAATCGACATCCAGGGGGAATGACCACATCCTATCCCTTCTCCATTCTCCTTCCAGGATGTTAAGCATGCACACATGCCCAGAATGATTTTCAAGCCGCTGGATCCAGGGCTTGAACCATGGTTGGCCATTTAGAAGTCCAACACCCTAACCACCATGCTACCTACTGGGTCCACTTTGGAACATTTCTAATCCCTGTATTGGACTGACAACTACAGTGAACCACAGCTACCACAGCCATGCAACAAATAGTATTGAGCACCAGATTTTCTAGCTTCTTATATTCTGCTTTCAATTCCATGTTGTTACCTCAGAAACACCCATCACAATTGGCCTACTTATTCATCTACAGATGGATACTTAGGTGACCTTTAACTCCACCACCAATGAAGAAGGATACAATGAATTCCTAGAGTGTGTGCTTTTTTTTTTTTTTTTGTCATAGGGCCTATGTGCTCACAGGAGAGAGACATAGATAGACAGAGAGAGAGAGAAAGTGAGAAATCACCCCCCAGGGTCATAGCCATCCTGCAGTCACTTCTCTATCCTCCACTCAGGACTCTGGGCATATACACACACACACACCTGGCATGACTTCCAAGCTGCTAGGTTCAGGACTCAAACCCCAATCGGCCACATGGGAATCCAGCACCTTAACCACAACGCCATCTGCTGGGTGCTTTTATAAATTTACACATGAGGTTCTCTAGATTACACAGCAGGGCTTGGGACCTCTAAGTCCTATATGCTGACTAGAATGTCTGCAGTGGTCTCTAGCCCTATGGGCAATGTCTAAGCTTCCCCATGTGGCTACATCCTCACCAACATTTAGTATTATGTAACTTGGACATTTTTGCCAATCTGACAGGTATAACTCGGTAGCTCACTGTTGCTTTCATGTCCTTTTCCCGATCTACTGGTAAGCCTGAATACCTCTTTATTCAGATTGCTAGTTTTTTTGGCTCCTGCTTCTGTGAACTGCTATTCATATCCTCTGCTCATTTTCTCTTGGTTTTCTCAATACATTTTTCTGATTGCATTGTAAAACTTCCTTGTGTGTATTATATGTTAATCTCTTGTCGATATAGCTTTTATTTTGCAATTATTTTCTATCAATCTGTGACCCATCTGTCAAACGTGTCTATAGTTTCATTCACTGATCAGAAATCTTTAATTTTGCATGGTCAAAGGACTAGTTTCTTACACAGATACCAAAAAGAAAAAAAAATAGCTAAGATGATCAATATAGCTACAAAAATAATGCCAGTGTAACAAAGGCAACATTAACCAAGTCAGCTGCACAGTGAGAAAATATTGTAACATAGATTATAATTCACAACATACACTGAGAAAAGGATTGCTACTTCTTCATAGTCATTGAAATAAGACAACTAACTTAACAGAACAGAACAAATGCTATAAAAATATGCAGAAGAGGAAATATAAACATCTAATACACATGTAAAAAAGATGCAGATTAAATCAAGGCGATGCAATTTTGAGATCATCTGAATGGCAATAATAAATTCAAAGGTATAGGTTAATAGGGATTCTCGTACACTATTTGTGGGATTGCAAACTGTTCCTTCTGGAAGGCAGTCAGATGGTATTGATTCAAATCTAATATGTGCATAAATCTCTACCCTAGTATCCCCTACACAGTGGCTAATGTTTATAGCAGCATTGTTTGTAAAAGGGAAAAATTAGAAATGACCAAAATGATCATCAATAAGGATAAATAAAACAAGTTCTTATGTACAAAGTATGGGCTGTTCTGCATGAGTTAAAGTGAAACAAAAAAAATTTTGAGAGATTTTTGCTATAGGGCACATGTGCTCACTGGAGAGACAGAGACAGAGAGACAGAAAGCAAGAAATCACCCCCACCCCCACCCCCCCGCGGGGGTGGCCACACTGCAATCCCTTTTCCTCCATTCTCCTCTCAGAATTTTGGGCACAAATGCACATGTGCCTACCATGAGTTTTAAGCCACTGGGTGCAGGACTCGAACCACAGTTGACTATGTGGGAGTTGAGCAGAGTAACCATTATGCCATCTGCTGGCATTTTATAGGCACTGACATACATGTATCTTTTTATAAAGTAACAATAACAAAGTGTAGAATATGTATAGAAGATGAGTAAGCAAACAAAATGAAAATGCCACAAAAACACAATATATGTACAAATGTTATATAAACACATAGGAAAGCTTGGAAGAAGCTACACCAAACTCCCATCCTTTAATGAGAATAGATTTGAGAAGAGGACCAATGGAGACTTTTACTTTTTCTGTGGTCAATTTGCTTTTTAACAATAAGCATATTTTCACATTCTACTTACATGAATAAAATAATTTTTAAAATAATTTTAACAAGTCTAAATTAGTTAATTCTATGTAGGTCCTTTTGGAGCTGAAAAATACCATACAATGGCTCAGCATAATTAAGGAATCAGATTTAATCAAATTTTAAGTACCTTCTGACATTAAAATTCAATTATTACAATTGCTACCTAACTTCTGAGTTCTTTAGCCCAGGCCCAAGTAGAAAGCTGGAAATGATATTCATCCAATTTGGGTTCTAAAATCCAAAGCTTCTAGATTGCTTTAGTCCAGGGGTCAGCCAACCACAGGACACATTAGCTTGCAGCTTGCTTCTGTGTGGACCCCAAGTTGGAAATGGATTTTACATTTTTAGACCGTTGAAGAGAGGTGCTGCAAGGCAGTGCAGTGGTAAAACACGGCACTCTGCAAGGCCGGTGACATGGGAAGGTTCCAGGTTTTCATCCAGAGACCTCCCTGAGTATAGAGGGCAGGTGTATACCTATGATCCAAGGCTGGCTAAGGCCAAGGTTGGATTCTGGCATGAGGCCCTTGTTGACAGGGCTGTCTGTCTATCTCTCTCTCTGTATCTTCTCTATCCCTCTCATTCATGAAAGAAAAAAAATCTTTAAATAGATAGAATATTTTTAATTGCAAAGCATTAGAAAAGTATGTGAAATATAAGTACTGGCATCTATAAAGTTGTATTATTTAGAACATGACCATATCAATCCATTTCCAAATTGTCCATGGCTGCTAAGAGCAAAATCAAGTAGCTATGACACTGTGTGACCTACAAAGTCTGATGTGTCCACTGTCTGCCTCTTTACAGGAAGTTACCCCCCCCCAGGTTATCTTTCTGGCTAGCACCTTACTTCCTGGATTATTTTAAGCATCCCACACTAATTTGCCATTCACATTTGCTCTCCACATCAGAGCCACCAAAGTTACCATTTATAAGCACGATATACAGTTTGGGATGTGACATTTCTTTCTCTTTCTATCATGCTTAACTCATCGTCTTTGTTTCTCTTTAACACCGAAGGAAATTATCTTCTGAGGGAAAGCATAACAGGGTATCACCTCCCTCGCTTTTCCATCCTTGGTGGAGTCTCATCACAGTCCTGAGGGACTAAACCCGAAGCACCATGACAGACTTTGGCAGAATAACGCGGTATCTGAGATGCTCTGCAGCCAACACCCAGTTCTAGCAAGAACTTTTCATTGCTGAGTGGGACCTTGGAGGAGTGGAGGAGCAGAGAAACCTCCTTGTAACAATGCAAGTACGTACAGACAATTTGGAAGAACATTTTAGGGAGTTTGATAACACTCTCAAGGCCATCATTAGGTCTTTAGGTGTCCACAAGTTTAAAAGCCCCAGTCTTTCAAGCTTGTTTACAAAAGCAGGAGATAGTCTCCCCATCTTTCTATAATTCCATAACCTGAGTCTTTTTTGAGCATGGGAAGGAAATAACACTTACCGTGAGGCACGGAGGAGCCTGGAAAGCCTCTCTGCTCCACTCCCACCATCGCCAGTCAGTCACATCCTCTGGATCTGCCTGATGGACCCGGAACACTTGCCTCCTTTGGTGCTTCATTTGCTGCATAAAAGAGAAGAATCCAGGGAATTATAATAATTATGCATAAATAAAACTGTCTAATAACAACTGATCTAAAAGATTATAAAGAAGAGCTAAATTATCTGGGAGGAAATTTGACTGAAAGTGGGTATGCCCTCACACTGCAGGATTAAATGAAAGGTTATGAATCTAGAGGTGCCTAGGGAGCCCAGACCTGGCTGTGTGCCAACACCACCTGAGGAAGAGCTCCAGAAATCCAGGCTGATGGTCCCATCCCAGACATACTAAATGAGAACCCCTGAGAGAGAAATCGAGAATTCATGTGCAGACATATGCATATGCATAGATATATGCATTTTTAAACAAGATTCCCTGATGACTATCCAGCCAACACAAGTCTGTAGACAAGCACAAAGAAATCTCTGAAACACACACTTAATATTCAGAGGTAGGGTGGTTCAATAAAGAGAGTCGTGAACAAAGAGTCAAATATCTTGAGTTCTGGCTCTGTTCCTGCCATTAAGTTGCTGTGTGACCTGGGATAGATCTCGTTTACTTCTCTGGGCCCTGCTTCCTTCACCTAAACAAAAAACATGGAATGGAATGAATACTATCTAAAGGCTTTTTGATTTCCCAAATTCTATGACCTCTTGTCTAGCATCCTCTGTAAGTCCCACTTCATGGAAACACTGTATTACAAGCAAGGTCTAAAACATGTAAGTCATAGAGCTATGGAGGCATGCTCAGATACAACCCGTCCTCACTAAGTCTGGAGAAAGTGGGTTTAGGAAACAACCATAGCACGACAGACAGAAATTTATCCGGCCCAAAAGGGATGCTTTGAAGTGTAACATAAAACAATATGGTAGTGAACCTACAACGAAGTTTCAAAATGTGTGAAGCAAAAATTGACAGAACTAAAGAGAGAAACAGACAAACAATAAAAGGTAGATCCTTGAATAACCTCGATCTGCCTGATGGACCAAGAACACTTGCCTCCTTTGGTGCTTCATTTGCTGCATAAAAGAGAAGAATCCAGGGAATTGTAACAATTATGCATAAATAAAACTGTCTAATAACAACTGATCTAAAAGATTATAAAAAAGAGATAAATTATCTGGTGATGTGTAGAATGCCTAGGCAAAAGCTCAGTGCAAAAAGAGAAGAACAATGCTATAAGCCAACAAAACCAATAACCATCTATGGAAATATTCCACCCAAAAATAGCCGAATATATATGGAAAATTAGTGAGACTAGACCACATGTCAGAAGCATAAAACAAGACTCAGTAAATTAAAGGGACCAAAAGCATGTAAAGTATGTTCTTGAACCAAATAAGATAAAACCAGAAATTAATATCACAAGGAAATTTGAGGTACTCACAAATATATTGCAATTAAACAACACAATCCTAAATAACCAAGAAGCCAAAGAAGAAATCACCAGGGAAATTAGACAATTTTTTTAAATAAATGCAAAAATCAAAACTTATGGGAGAGCTACCCTTAAAGGGGAAAGTGCAGCTATAAGTGCATATATTTAAAAAGAGCGATCTCAAATCAATAACCAAATCTACTTTAAGAAACCAGAAAAAGAGGAGTAAATGAAACAAAACCAAGAAAAGAACATGTACATTCAATGGGTAATAGAAAAACAAGTAAAGAAATCAATAAAACCAAAATTTAATTCTTTGAAAAGTTTAACAAAATTGACAAACTTTTACTGAGACCGACCAAGGAAAGAAAGAAAGGAAGGAAGGAAGAAAGAGAGAGAGACACAAATTGTTAAAATCAGGAATGAAAGAGAAGAAATTATTGCCAACCCTATAAAAATAAAATGTATTATAAGGAGACCTTAATGAATACTTATATGTCAACAAATTTAAGTAACCCTAGATGAAATAGAAAAATTTCTAGAAGCACACAAACTACCAATAGTAATTCCAAAAGAAACAGAAAATCTGAATAGACCTATAACAAGAGATTGAATTAGCAAAAACAAACAAATAAAAACAAAAGAAACACACGTCCCCAAAAAAGTTATTTACTGTTCAATTCTATGAAATGTTTAAAGCAAAATTGACATTAATCCATCATAAACCCTTCAAAAAATAGAAGTGGAGCAAACACTTCTCAAATCATTCTGTAAGGCTATTATTACCCTGATACTAAAAACAAAAACATCTTAAAATGAACTACAAATCAATATCCTTTATGAAGATGCAAAAATCTTCAACAAAATGCCATCATACTGAATCCAGTAACATGTATAAATGAGAATACACCGTTACCAAATGCAATTTATCCCAGAATACAAGGTTAGCTAAATATATAAAAGCCAGTCATTATAATCCACTTTCATAATAGAATGAAGAGGGGAAAAAAATGGACAAAGAAAAGGTAGTTGACAAAATTTAGTAACTTTTAATGGCGAAATGCTTGACCCACTAGAAACAGAAGGTAACTTCTTCCACCTGATTAGCTTATGTATGAAAAACTGACAGCTAACACCATACCAAATGATAAGAGACTGTTTTCCCCTTAAGATCAGTAACAAGACAAGGATGTCTTGTCTCTATTCTTCTTTTTAAAATTGCATTAGGAGTTCTAGCCTGATTAGAAAAGAGAAAGAAATAAAAGGCATCCAGATTACAATAAAAATGTAAAAGTATTTTTATTCACAGAAATGGGATTTTTAACATTTTTAAATTCTATACCAAAAATCCACTAAAAAGTATTACAATAAATATACAAGTTCAACAAAGTTGTGAGATATAAAATCCATCTACAAAAAAAGTATTCCTATACATCAACAATATACAACCAAAAGTAAAATTAAGAAAATAATCTGGTTTAAAAAAAATCAGCAAGACTATAATGCTTAGAAATCAACTTATCAAAATAAGGTACTACTTGTACATTGAGAACTACAAAATATTTTTGAAAAAATATTTAATGAAGCCTAAATAAATGGGAACATATTCTATGTTCATGGAAAGGAATACTTACTCCTGATAAGATGATAATACTCTCCAAATTGATTTATAGATTCAATAAAATACCTATCAAAATCCAAGCTGCCTTTCTAAAAGAAATTAACAAAGTCATTTCTAAAATTCATTGTAGATGAGAGACCCAGAAAAGACAAAATGACCTTTAAAAATGTTCACCTGTTGAAATATCCATTTTGTAAGACAAATAATAATGTGATTGAATGTATGGAAGAAAATTAAATGAAAAAAATTAATAAAAAAATTAAAAAGATTAAAAAAAAAAAAAGAACAATGGGGAGCCAGTAGGTGGCAAGGTGGTTAAGGTGCTGGATTCCCACATGGCTGACCATGATTCAAGCCCCAGACTCAGCAGCTTGAAAATCACACCAGGCTCAAGTTCATGTGATCCCCAAATCCAAAGGAGAATAGAGGAGATGAGACTGAGGCATGACCATCCCTTCTAGGGCATGGGGTGGCAATTTCTCACTTTGCCTCTTTGTCTTTTTCTAGTGAGCATGCACACCCTATGGCAAAAATCTAAAAACCAAAAACTAAAAGACAAAAATGTTGAGAGATGGATTTACACTTCTTGTCTGTAAAGCTTACTGTATGTCTACAGTAAAAAAAAAAAAAAAAAAAATGATACTGATATTCAAGTAAACATACAGACAAATGTAATAAAATTGAGAGTCCAAAAATAAAGCCATATATTATGGTCAACTGACTTTTGACATGAGAACCAAGATAATTTATTGCAGAATGAATTTTTTTTTTTCAACAAATGGTACCAGGACAACGGAATATCCACATATAATTACTTGGACCCTTACCTCACACCATATACGAAACATTCCAAAGTGAATCAAAGAACTAAATGTAAAAGCTAAATGTATAAAATTGTTGAAAGAAAACAAAGAACTTGGACTTGATAATGGTTGTTTAGATATAACACCAAAAGCACAAGCAACAAAAGAAAAAATAAACTTGACTTAGCCAAACTTCAAGAATGTGGGAGCTTAAAATGGTTCCATCAAAAAATAATTTAAAAAATCCACAAAGTGAGAGATATTTGCAAATCAGATATTTGATAAAAGCTTTATACACAGAATATATAAAGAACTGCTATATCTTATTCTTTTTTTATGCCTCAGAATGTGTACTTGTAGGACAGAGAACACGAACACACCCCCAAAAGAGCCTGGTCACATCACAATCTTTTTCCTTCCAATTCTTGATCCTGCCAGGATCCTGGGCATGTAGACATACACCCAATCTGTTTCTCAAACCCATGAGCCCCGGACTCAAATCCCGATCACCCATGTGGGACCTGGTTTCCTCTGAGCAGTACCTACTCACTGCTACAGCATCAGCCTGAGAACTGTTATATTTTAACAATGAAAACGACAACCCAATTTTAAATGGGCAAAGGATTTGAAAAGACATTTCTCCAAAGATACATAAATGGCTAATAAGCATATTAAGATATTGTTAGCATCATTAGTCACTAAGAAAATACAAACCAAAACACACCCACCAGGATGGTTAAAATCAAAAAGTCAAATAATAAAGATGTGAAGAAATCAGAGATCTCATACAATTTTGATGGTAATGCAAAATGGTGAAGTTATTTTCTAAAACAATTTGGCAATTCTTCAAAAACATAAACAGTGTTGCCATGTGACCTAGCGATTTCCCTTCTGGGTATGTACCCAAAAGGATTAAAAACAGATGACCAGTTGAAAATTAGTACAAAATGTTCACAGCATTATCCCTAAGATAAAATGTAGAAACTCATTGTCCATCAAGTGAAGAATAGACAAAACGTGGTATATTCAAACAACGACTTATTATTTGACCATAAAAACGGATGAAGAATTGATTTACGCTATAATATGGGTGAACCTTGAATACACTACCCTAAGTAGAAGAAATTAGACACAAAGTCCACATGTTATATAACTCCACACACAAGAAAAGTCTGTAGTAGGCAAATTCATCAAGATAGAAAATGGATTAGTGATT